CCCACTGATACACTCGAAAACGTGGAGGAGCCATCCAGTGGCCCACGTGAGGAACGAGAGGAGCTGCCCACTGATACACTCGAAAACGTGGAGGAACCATTCAGTGACCCATGTGAGGAACAAGAGGATCCACCCAGTGACCTACTCCAAGACATGGAGGAGTCATGTGATAGTTCACACGAGGAAGAGGAGGATCCACTCAGTGAGATTGCTATCTCATCTGATGGCATAGATTCAGTGTTCGTCAACTCATCTGAGACCCAGACAGAGCAAGGAGATGAGACTGACCTGGAAGATGAAGATGAGCTGAACCTCGGAGAGGAGGCTCAGCCCGGGGGCTCTCCAGAAGAAGTCATGGCCACAATGGAGTCCATCATCTCGGTGTTCCTCCGAGTGCACGACATTGAACACCAACAGAGAGTAGCGGAGAGGATCTTGATGCAAGCCATCGAAGAAGGCCGGCTCCCCAAACTCAGGCACTTCTCTGGAGATCGCAGAGAATACCATGAGTTCATTGTGCTCTGTCAGATGACCCTACAGAACTACCCATCAATGTTCCACAATGACCAGCTACGGGTGAAATTTGTCATGTGTCATCTGTCTGACCTAGCCTTAGAATGGGCCAACGGCCTGGTAGAGCAGGACAGCCCTCTGCTGAACAACTACTCAGGCTTCATCGAGGCCATGTCAGAAATGTTCGAGTACAGGCAGACGCTGCGTGTGGCGGAAGACGCCATGTTCAATATCAGGCAGGGGAACCGCGGTGTTGCCGAATACATCAATGAGTTCCAGAGTCTGGTACATACCTTGGGCTGGCCAGATGAAGTCCTGCAGGCCCACCTGTGCCAGGGGCTCAATGAAGACATCAGGCATTATCTGTTTCGAATCCCCCAGCCGGCATCCCTGGAGAACCTGATGGTGCTCGTCCTGCAAATTGAAGATAAGCTGGCAGAGAGAAGGGCATTACTCAGGCTGCCCCCCGAGGCCCGCCCAAGAAGCCTAATCTGGATGGACACACCTGCCCCAGAGAAGTGGCATGTGAGCACCTGGCTGCCCAATGCGTTTCATCCCAACATCAATCGTGCCCACCTCTTCCTGCTGCTCATGGTGAGGGTGAACCCCTACCACAGTGTCGCAGTGCAGGCCCTGGTGGACTCAGGAGCAGAAGGGAACTACATGGACGAGAAGTTTGCCCAAGAACACTACGTGGAGCTCTACGAGAGACCCTATCCACAGGCAGTCCAAACCGTGGATGGCTCCCTGATCGGCAATGAACCTATCTCGCTGTGCACCGAACCCCTGCTGTGTATCCAGCAGAATCACTGTGAGTACATCGAATTTGACATCGTACCTTCACAGCACTTCTCTGTGGTCCTCGGCATCAAGTGGCTCCGTACCCATGCACCTGAAGTTGACTGGTTCAAAGGCCGTTGCACCTTCCACTCTCCCTACTGCCTGAAGAATTGCTTCCACCCACCCCCACCATGCATCGCACTGGAGAAAGTTAGCATGACCATACTACCCGGATTGCCGCAAATGTATTCAGACCTGGCCGATGTGTTTATCGTGAAGGAAGCAGATGATGAGACTTCCGACCAGCCAAGCTCAGACGGATCCGATGATCTTTCTGAATCAGAGCCCTCTGAGCTTCAGCAGGCTGGAGACAGTGATCACAACGACGTCTTTTATGAGAGTTCTTCCAAGAGGCCTTATCAATCTGTGAGTGCCAGGATGCAAGAAAAAGCCAGGCAGCAAGAGCAATACTGGATACTATACGACATGCTGAATGACAGACAGGACTACATACAGATGATGCCAGAACTGTTTGACCACTTACATGGAGCTACATGGTTCACAAAACTGGAGCTGCGAGACATTGCTAAGGAACCCAGGGTGGACTACAGCCTCACACACACAGAAGACACATGGAGAGCAACATTTGGGATGAGCCCTTACCAGATGAGATGCTACCGGCCCTTCACAATAGACTCATATGCTGACGACTGTGATAATGAGATTCACTTTATCCTAAAAGACATCCTAGGCTTCTATGTGATTGCCCATGGCCGAGAGCTCCTGATCTACTCAATGAGCCAGGAGGAACACTCTGATCATGTCCGCCAAGTCCTGCTCCGCCTTCGCGGTCACAATATCCACTGCTCCCTGGACAAAACCCTGTTCCATCGCCACTCCGCAGAGTTCATGGGTTTCGCCCTATCCCGCAAAGGGGTGAAACTGAACAAGACCATCAGGAACATCATGATGGGGTGTCCTGTCCCCAGCAACAGGAAATCCCTGCAAAGCGTTATCGAACTCTTCTATCCCTACCGCCACTTCGTGGAGCACTTTGCCATCATTGCAGAGCCCCTGGTGAAACTGCTGCTGAGCTCAGAGCCCTTCTGCTGGGGAGAAGAGCATCAGGAAGCCTTAGATTGCCTGAAGAGGGCTTTTCAAAAAGCACCCTTTCTGTACCATCCCAAGCCTCAGAATCCATTCTACTTGGAAACAGGCGTCACTGGGTCATTCCTATATGCCTCCCTGCTCCAAACTGATGAAGAAACTGGCAAGAAAGCTACCTGCTCTTTCTACTCACGACATCTCTCCCCAATCGAGGTGGAGTACCCTCAAGTGGAGATGAGGATCCTTCCAGTCCGGGCTTCCTTCATGGTGTGGTGTCGCTACCTGGAGAACACCGAGGAGCCCATCATGATCCTTCTCAACACAGAGGATCTAGCCTCTCTGAATAATGACAGGCTCACCGTACTTCTCCCCGGGCATTGGCTCTACTTCTTCGCTCACTTCCATTATGAAGTGATGGAGCTGCCTGATGATGATGACCCCCGAGCTCTGTCCCGTAGAAATCCAAACCAGAGAGCCTTGAGAGCCAGGTACATGCGGCCACTGCTGCTTCTTGCCCTGAGGGCAAGCCAAAGGGAAGCGTTCTCTGATTTTGGGTCCGAGCCCGAGGCTGAGACTGAGTCCGAGGACAGTGACGATGAGTCAGACCCGGAATGGGCGGAGTTGAATCGGCAGGCCCTGGTACAGGAGGCACTCTCTAACATCCCAATAGAACAGATCCTCAACACCCTCCTGACCCACTTCAGCAGGGTCCAGATCCGGTCCGTTGTCCTACACTTCTTCCGTGGCCTGCTCTACTGGAAGAGTGTCCTGGGTGTGGCATCCCTCCTGGTGATGATGAGGGTGAGGCAGCCCCTCTCCCCACTTCCTGCCCCCTCTTTGGAGGTGGCCAGGCCTGAGCCCCGACACACACTCCGGCTCATCCTGGACTCAAGCCTCATTGCAGGTAGTGGCATGGCCACAGCCATCACTCAGTTGCTCAGCCAGATGCCCCGGGTAGCGCGGGCCAACACCCTCCCAGCTCGAGAGCTGGCTGAACTGTACCTGAGCCCCAGGTGCTGGCATCGGAATGCCCTGCATTCCCAGCCCCCACGGGGCCTGCGATTCACCCCAGGGTTCTGGTTGACCCTGTGTGAGTTCTTCGGCGTCAGAGTCAACCCCGAGGAGGACATCTTCCCGGACCCACACCAGCAACGATACTTGGAGCTGCACGTCGTTGGTGATGAAGATGTCGTCTTGCGAGAAGCCCTGCAAGACGACCTGCAACGTTACCGTCAGTGTGGCCTGCATGACGGCCTGCAAGACACCTCGCAGGACGCGCAGGACAACGACGTGCAAGAAGCCCTGCTTGAAGACGAAGAAGCCTTGCTTGGAAACCAAGAAGACCTGCTTGGCGACCAAGAAGCCCTTCTTGGTGACCAAGAAGCCCTGCTTGGAAACCAAGAAGCTGTCACCTTCCGCCCGCGAAATCTGATGGACCCAGAGGTTCTAGACTTCCTCAACAACCGCCTACTCTACATTCTTGGTGCCGATGGAAGGCTTACTCTGCTCAGCAGAGATGAGGTGGCCCGGGCCCTCACGCGATTCCTGACCATGGCCTCCAGAATGGCCCTGCTTTCCCCAGCCAGGGAACAGGCAAGGCTAGAAGCACTGTCAGACTCATCAGATGATGAACTTGACTGAAAACACAACTAAGTTGATGCCATTCTCCTTTGTGCCTCAGCTAGCTTTGCTCAAATCCAGTGACACCTCCTACCACTCCTGACCCAAGGGGAACCCACTTGTGAAGGGCCACAACTTCAATTCATCAACCAGCAACATCATCTGTGTTAAAGGACTAGCCAACTGTCAGCGTCCCAGAACCAGCCAAGACTGTGTGCAACCCTGTGCTAACTGTCCAAGACTGTGTGCCACCCTGTCCTAACTGAACGGGCCTCAGACCCACAGCGGGAAGTGAGATAAATGAGAGGAGGAAGCAGTGATGAGCAACAATGACCCTGTAACCCCAGGCCAGATGCAGAACAGGCACAGCAGGCGCAGCCAAGCAAGCAGATGCCAGGGAGCCCCCCCCACCACCACCCGAGTGACGTGAGGCCACCTGTGCATCCTGGGACACTGACCTCGGGTGCTCCACTGACTTCTACCTCCTCACCGGTGCTCCAACTCCCCTGGGCCCCACCTCCACCCCCTCCCAGCCTCCGGAGGTACTGTGGTGCCGTGCCTCCCAGCCCACCCCTCAAGCAAACAAGCCCACCCCACACTATCTGGTTTGGCTCCCTTGACACTTCATCTGACCCTGAACTCTGAACTTACCTGAGCAGAGCTGCTCTGTGGGGCATCCGACGTACCAGTGCGACTTACCTGATAGACTTGCCCACCTTGAAGGTCCCTGAGACTCAGGGACCACCAGAAAAGGTGGTAGCACCAAATGGGCCTCCCGTTCCCAAAACTGACAGCTGGACAGTGCAGGGGCCAGAGACCCCACATAAAGGAGGGAGCCCCCAAGGACACTGGTGATGCCCCAGACACCCAGCCTGCTGTGCCAAGGAGCCCAGACCACTGCTCTTTGTCGTGGGAAGGAGTACCTTCCTATACTTTCCATCCCGCTTCTGCTTTTACCCCACAAATAAAGAGAAAAAAGATTATCTGGCTTTGTCATTTGTTCTCAAGGGAAGGTGTGATAGCAGGAGACAGGTTTGAAGGACAGTGAGCATGGGAGCAGAAAGGACGGAGTATGCACAGAGGGTTGAGGGCGGACATGTACAAGGGTGGGAGGAGCCTGGGCAGGAGAGCTTGGCTCTTTCCTGAAACAGCTCATGGAGATGTGTAGCGAAAAAAACCTCCCTTCTTCTCCTAAGGAGAAGGAAGCCACTCCTCTCTCATCCCCTCAGACTCACTCCGAGGAGCTACAGGTGGGAAAGGGATAAAGGAGCTCATCTGGCAGAGGGAGGGTGCCCAGAAATCCCAGCTCTTCTCCAGTCCCAGCCTTTTAGTCACATGAGAAATGAGGAGTGGCCAGGCTGTGCTCTGCGCTCCCAGCTAAGGAGGGTCTGCAGGACTGCCTTGGACCCATTCCCACAGTTGCCCCCAATGAAGAAGGCCTAGATCCCCGCTCTAAAAATGGCTTTCCTGGGGGTACACTGGTCTGAGGAGGGGAAGGAGCTCCTGGGGAAGTAGGGAAATGGGAGAAGTAGCCAATACTCACAAAGCCTGTAACCCTACTCAGAAGCACCCCCTCCACCGGAAGTCTGCAAACAGGCTGGGGTACAAAACCAAGGACCCCTCCCAGTGTGACCTTAAGGACAGTATGGAGATGCAATGCACAGGGCCCTCACATCCAAGGGATACTAGCTCTGCCCTATACATCCTGCCTGGAAATCCGACCTCGAGTTAACTCCAAGAGACCCTCCTTTGTCCTGAGAATGTGTCATGGCCCCGGATACCCAGCGTGACAATGCAGTGTGATATCCCACCTGTAGCAGGGACAGCTGAGGTGGGGGCCTGAGAAATACCCCTGAGAGCAGACGACCTCTACACCCTCTCCAGCCCCTAGTACCACTGTGCCCTTGTGGGTCCTAAGGAGCGACTGGCTACTGTCTAGCCTCTCTAACAAGGAATGTACCCCTGACGGCAGCACCATGAGATCATGGGCAGGATCCCAGGTTCAAGGTCAGGGGCTCAGCCTCATTTTAGCAGTTTCTTCTGCTCTTAAAGAAGTTGCCAATGTCCCTCCCCCCAGACCCCTGTAAACAAGACATCACATCCTACCTTCAGTTTCCCTGTCCATCACACAGAGCTATGGAGGGGGGGGGGGCTTCTGGAAGATTTCAAAGGGGTCACAATTAAAGTGTTGAGTGTAATCAACACAGAGTGCAATCCTACCCTCCATCTCATCCAGGGACTTCCTGGTGTCATCTCTTCAGAAAATCAGGGTACAGGGAGGACTGCAGAAGGCTGCGGTCAGAGAGAGGCCTAGGGAACCTCCTTCATGGCCTTTATCCTATCACCTTGGGACCTTCTACCCACATAACCTATGGTCTTAGAACCCAACATGTGACCCCACGCACAGCTGACATCACAACAGCCCCCAGAGACAGAGGCTGTTGTTGTCCGTCTGTCCATCTATGACAGCCCCAAACGACACAGTATGGTCCAAGTCAGAGGCTCGGCTGTGCCGATCCCAGCATTCCCTTATAAACTGCTTATGGAAGCCCCAGCCTCCAAGTGACAGGGTGACTGTCTTCCCACTGACCTGCCTATCTATTCCCTAAGCAGGGAACCTGGGAGGGGAGGTCAGTTTCAAGGCAAGGCTGTCATCAGGGCTTTTGCTTCCTAAAGTACGCCCTGCCCAATGTGACACGCTGCTTAGAATTCCTAAGAAGCGTCTATGACCTCAAGGTGGGACTGGGGTCCTCCTGGGGAGAACAAACACACCATTCTTGTACCCTGCTAAATTCTCCTGGGGACCCCATACATAAAGCTGGACCTCCAGAACACAATTCTGTCCCTGCTTGGTGAGGCTCTCTGTGGGTTCAGTGGACGTGCAAATGCCTCTTATGTCCCTGCTGCGGCCAGGGGACCCAAGGCCTTCTCTGACAAGTGGGAGTAGAAGTAGAAAAGTTAAACAGAAAACCTAGCAGTGGCCCAGGAGCCTGTCAAGAGGCTGCCAGTGATGTTCATCACAAAGGTGGGCCCGTTTACCCATAAGCCCACACATACGCAGTCTATGAAAGGCCAATAAAGGCCCAGTGGCCTGCCAATCTATCCAGCAGGGGCTTTGTCCCCATTTACAGGAGAAGAAGGCAGGCCAGGCTGTAAAAAGAGAACCAGTGTTAAATCAGTAGGTTATCAGGTTATCGGCGGAGCCACTTATAGAGATTGAAAAGCACAACACAAACCTTTTTTTTCTCCTGCGGAAGAGAAAGAAAAGCAAAGTAAGAAATTGGTGTGAAAGTTCCTGCTAGGTGATGATGACATCACTCCCACCACAGTAAAGGTGAAAATCAGAGACCAGCCCCCTGACTGCAAACTCCACCCACTGAGGAAGTGCCCCCACTTCCCAGCTTCAGTCCCCATCCAGGGAGCTCTGAGAGCATCCAGGAACAAAGAAGAGCACAAGGCCCTCCCTTGGCCACCCTGCTTGTCCCCTCCCTTGCCTCCGTCCTCCCCTTATAAGATGCCCCTGCAGGCTTCAGCCAGGCATATCACTTCCAGGGCTGGTGACAACATAGACTCCAGCTATTCACCAGCAAGACTGGATCTGCTGCTCCCTTTTACAGGTGGCCATGGGTCACATTAGGGGTCCCCACGCAGGACCCTGAGCCAAGAGTTTTACCAGCTCCTAACCAGGCTGGAGCAGAGGAAGAAGATTCCCCCCACACCTAGGTAATCTGGACTGGGCCCCATAGTAAGAAAGGGAAAGGTGACAGAGAAACTATCACCACCACCCCAGCTGCCCCTACCCACCTTTAGCCCTGCTGCTGGGCACAGGGGGACCACTTGTTATGATCTATGCCCATCGGACATGATCTGAGACCTGAACAGCGAACCTCATCTGGACTTCATCCACCTGTGGGAGTTCAGGGGGCCAGCATGACAATCCTGACACCATGAAAGAGGTAAGGTGCACAAGGTAGGAGAAGGGCGGTGGAGGGTGGTGAGGAAGGGCACAGGGGACGGGGAGAGATGAAGGAAAGGGGAGGGTGGGGGCCCGGGTCCTCCCTGTCCTGCTCCCAAGTCCTTTCAGGGCTTCAAGGCCCCCCACTCAGGTTACTCCTGTGTGCCTGGGCTGGCTGCCATAGCTGGTACATGCAGTTAATAACCGTAGTGCTGTGGGGATGGAGATGGGCGCCCTCCCCACCACCACCTATGCATGCAATGACCTAAGATATTGGGGTACAGAGGACAGGATTCTATGCCAGTTGTTCATCATGCTGTTGAAGTGTCTATGGGCACCCAGCCTCGGCAGGGGTGCCACAGAGGAAGAACAAGGTGACTCTGACAGCTCCCAGGGGATCCACGGTCTGCAGGGAGTGAGATGAGACGTCTCCAGAAGGGCTCAAGGAGAGAGTGAGAGGCCGCCTGTAAGGGACCTCAGCCTCCTGGTCATAAAAAAATAATCCTGGATAGAGGCAGAGGCCCCTCAAGGAGACCCTGTTCTGGGAGCACTGGTATGGCTCAGCCCTGCTCTGTTCCAGCCCTGCCCCCTGTCCTGGAAACAAAGACACCATCTCTCTGGGATCCACCCCTTTGTCCTGTGAGCTGGGTCCCCTCAGAGGGCATCCAAGAGAGAACAGCTCCTAGAATCCCAGTGGGAGAAGCCCCAGGGTAGGCCCAGGATCGACCTCTGACCTGTCTACCCTTGGCCACAGAGTCAGGGGGTGACCCTTGGCCCAGCCCCAGGGAATGTCCCACCAGGGATACAGCTTCCCCCTCCAAGGAAGGACCTCAGAGATGGCCCAGCCCCAGGCATTCCCCTCTAGGAACTTGGAGAGCTGCGGGGAGAAAGAAAGCATGCACGGAAGTAGCAAGCTGGACTACACATCCACCCCATCCCGGTGAAGCTCAAGGTGCAGAGGAGGGTCCGGAGGCCACACGCGGTTGAAGGGGGTGAAGAAAGGCATCATATAGGAGCTGAATGGCTGTGCAATCAACTCCTGCATGACGCCGTTCCCACCCCCCAACTTCTGACTACGATGAGATGCGACCCTCCTCCTGAAACGAAGCAATGCAGGAAGCCGGACGACAGGTGGGACAGGCCCGCGCAGCTAGTAGTTAGAGAAAGGACAGCAAGGGGCAGCCAGCCCAAGGGCACCCGCGGCACAGTGCGACTCTCCACCCTCCTTGTCCCATGTGAGACTGGAGCGCATGCAGGTGATGGAGGGAGGGGGGGATGGAGGGGAGGGGGAGGGGAAGGATGGCTGCTGCCACAGGAGTGCCAAATGCACCGCTCAGGTCCATTCTGTCAGTCGCAGCCCGTCCCAGGCGCGTGTCCGGTGGGCTCCTCTGGAGACCTAGAAGGAAATCATGGGAACCAGCAGGGGCTTATACAGCTGCGGACGGAACCCCAAAGGTAATGTATGTGTTAACAGCTGCTTAGAATGGTGAGGGGACAGGCTACAGGCACAGCTAAAGGCTCCTTGGATTTTTTTTTTGGGGGGGGGGTGAGGGAAAGGCTTCAGATTGGGTCTGGTCACATACTTCTATGAGCAACTAAAAACACAAACTGCTTTTCCTTGCCCGTTTCTGTCTGTCTGTTTGTTTGTTTTTGAAACAGGGTCTCACTGTATAACCCAGAGCGACCTTGAATTCTCCATCTTCCTGCCTCGGGCTTCCAAGCTTGAATGACACATGTGCCTCAGGATATATATGAATAAAGTACAAAAAAAAACCCTTTCCTGTTCCTGTGTTCTTTCTCTACTCTAACATCTCCCTTCTCCACTGCCAGCCTCACCTCACAGGTCCCCACCTCCCCTGTCAGCCAATGCTTGTCCCAACACCATCCGGGATAGAAGGGGCAATCAACAAACATTTCTGCATCCTGGCAGGATGCTACCAAGTGCCTTGGGAAAGGATGTGGGGGGAAAACTAGCTAGGGTGGGAGGCCAGAAGGCAGGTCCGGGAAGGGTTCAGGGCAACACAAGCAGGGGGGATGGGGGGGCTCTGTAACTCAGATTAACAAAAAGAGAGGCTGCAGGCGACATATGAGCAGTGAATGGGCACGTGCAGCCTGACACTCTGGTAAGAGGCTGCCCGTGGCAGAGGGCAGAATCTCAGTGTGACTCACTGAAAGGAATGGTCCTGTGGAACAGGGGAGAGAATAGGTAGGTGTTCAGGGGTGCCTGTGGGACACAGTTCCCGGACATTCGGGAGGGCAGAGGGTCTCAAGGTGACACATGGGAGGGACAGGCTACGTGACTCATGGGAAGCAGGAGGGTCTCAAGGTGACACGTGTAGAAATGGCTGCATGACACGTGGGAGAGGTGAAGGATTTGAGGTGTCCCATGAAGAGGGGGGCTTCCCGTTGTATGGAAGAAAACAGAGGCGTCACAGGGTCCATGTACAGCGGGGTGTCCGTGTGTACTGGGGAGAGGAAGGGACTAAATGTAGAATCTGTAGGGAATAAGGTTCCGTGATGGATGGGGGAGAGAAGTCGTCCAGTGACACCTGTGGGGGAGGGGACACGTGACACAGGAGAGAAAAGTACAGATTTGATGTGTGGGGGAGGGGATCCATGACACATGAGGTGGGGGGGCCTCAGTATGACCCTTGTGTAGGAGGGGCTCCGTGACCCCTGGAAGAGAGGAAGGGCTCAGTGTGGCACATATAAAGGAGGGACTCTCTAATCCAGGACGAGGGGGTTCAACACGACACTTGTAGAGGAAAGTGTCCAGGACACATGGGAGAAAAGGACTAAACGTGACACATATGTCACCTTGTGACATGGAGGAGACGAGTGTCTCAGTGTGTTACATGCAGAGGTGGGATCCATGACACATGGCAGGTGTGTTACATGCAGAGGGGAAAGAATGTCTCAGTGTGTTACATGAGAGGCGGGATCCACGAAATGGAGGAGATGAAAGTCTCAGTGTGCTACATGCAGAGGTGGGGCTCCATGATATGAGGAGAGAAGTTCTGTGTAACACACCTGCAGCATGAGCAGAGTTTGTAGTGACTAGAAGGGATGAGATCTGTGACATACGGTCTGGAGGTCCTCATTGGATAGGAGTGTGAATGAAGGGCTCCACATAACATAAGTGAAGGAGGGGCCTGATGTGAATGGGGAGTAAGTAGTGTGAATGAAGCACAGGTATGAGGGGGTCCCCTGGGACACAGAGGAGGGACTTCTTTTGACACAATACTAGAAGAATTTGCTGTGACACAGAGATGATGAGCTCTAGCTAGCAGGTGACTGAAAGGGGCACTGAATGTGGCAGGAGGTGGGAAGAAACTCTGTGACATGCAGAAGCACCTAGTGAGACAGACGTCACTACTGCATGGTGAGAGCCACGTTCCCTGTATGACTTCAGGAGGACCCACAAGTGGGGGAGGAGGTGGGTATGACACACAGGTGAGGAGACCTGTGTGTCCTGTCACAGAGGTGGGGCAAGACCTCTGCACCACACGACAGTGACATCCGAATGAGAGGTCCGTGTACGGCATGGGGATGGTAGGACAAAAACAGAAGGGGGACCTCCATGTGATGCACACGAGGGGCAGGGCTGGGCAGAACACATGACGGAAAGAGGTCTTCTGTATGACACATGAGTGGGACTGGCATGACACATGACCAGGAGAGGGGCTCTACAGGACACATGGATGAGGCCAGGCTAAGAATGACACATATGGGGAGCACATACGTGTTGCAGAGGACAAAGGGGTGGGACAAGGCTCACCGTGACATGTGATGGAAAGAGGTACTCTACAGGACACGTGGGAGGGGCTAGACTGAGCCTGACACATCGGTGAGCATGTGTTAAACATGACACATGTTGAGGAGAGGTACTCTATAAGATCCATGGGTGGGGCCAGGCTAAGCATGAGGCGTGTTGGGGAGAGGTGCTCTCTCCATAGGGCACATGGGTAGGGCTAGGCTTACCATGGCACGTATGAGAAGGGGGGCACTACAGGATACATGGGAGGGGTTAGGCTAAGCATGACACGGGTTGAGGAATAGTACTCCACAGGGGGGAGGTCTTGGCTGGAAACATGGGGAAGATATTCTGTTGGACGTACATGAGGTAGAGCTCAGTATGTCAAACGGGGATGAGGGGTTTGATGTGACACAGGGTGGAGGAGCCTTTTCTCTGTGGCACACAGGAAGGCAGTGTTTCATGTGATAAATGGATGGAAGAGGGGCGTGATACCTGGATCTAAATGCAGGGGAGGAATTGGTGTGAAACCCTGCTGGAAGGGGGGTGGGGGGCTGTGTAGTTCACAGGCACGAGGTCAGCATGGGCCATGGACAGAAGAAGGCCTCAGGACAGGGTGTGGACTGTGCTTTGGGTAACACGTACAGGATGGGATTCAGCATGTGTAGAAGAACAAGAAAGAAGCTCAATGTGAACACTGGGGACTCAGTGTGACAGGGGACGGGGGGAAGGACCTGGCATAGTACATGGGTTGAGAAGGAGCTCCATGCAACTGAGTCCACAACTCGGTGGGTGTGTAACTGAGGAGAGGGGACTCCAGCTAACACAGGTGGAGGCAGGATTCATGTCACGTAAGAGTGGGGGCTGTGGAATGATACATCACAGGCGTGGGAGTTTGATTTGACACACAGGGGGCTTGTGTGACACATGGATGGAGGAATTTGACGTGACGCATGTTCCTTGCTGATAGGGAGGTGGGATGCAGTCTGTGCATAGCCTGTCAGGAGTTTGCATTAGAAGCGCAGATAGAAGGGCTACCGGGAACTTGGGAGAGGGTGCGACAAGAGTCAAGGGGGAGGTGTGTGTGCCACGTCAGTGGAAAGACTGTGACCACAGCAATGGAGGCAGGGAGTCTGATTGGCATGAGATGGGGAGGAGCCCAGATGGGGAGGGCCGCATGAGCCTAGGTGGGACACTTTGGAGGGGAGGGGGTCTTGGTATGACATCAGCAGGCTCAGCGTGAACCACTAATAAAAACAGAAGTTGCAGAAGACAGAGCTTTTACTGGGTCACTTACGTGATTGGAGTGGGGGAGAGAGCTCTGTGTGACCTATGGATGCAGGAGGATCTCTATGTGACATTCAAGTGGGGAGCAACTTGGGGTGACATGGGGGTGACAGCAGGACTCAATGTAACACATTGACAGGAGGGGAGGGAGGAGCTCGAGGTGCTATCAGGAGGGGGGGTGGGCCCATGTCACACACAGTGGGGCAAACCTTTGTGATACGTGACTAGGGAGAGCCTCACAGGTGACCAGATGGCTCTGTGGAATATTCGAAGAGGGATATAGTCAGTGTGACACAAGAATGAGGGTAGGGAACCCAAATGGTAATGCAATGGAAGAGGGGCGTAGTAGGACATAAAGGGGGAGGGTTACTATGACGTAACTAGAAGAGGACCTCAGGAAGGACTTAGTTTGACATACGGGTGTAAGATTAGAGTGGCCATATGGTAACTGGAGGGGACTCCATGACACACCCCAGTGGAGGAGGGGCTCAGTCTAACACCCACAGCTGACACAGTAGTTAGTAGAGATGGTGTGGCATGAATGAGAGGCCCAGGAGAGACAGTCAGCACATGAAGTGGGCGTGCTATGAGACACAGAGGCATGTAGTGTAGTGAGTGGGTGTGGAAGGATTCATTGTGGTAAGAGGAGGCAGGTGATGTGGGATGAGCTACTGGACCTAGTGTAACATGGAGGTGACGAAGGCTAAGTGTGACACAGAGAGGTGAGCATCACACATGGGTAGAAGGAGGGACTGAATGTGACCCACGCATGGGAAAACTTTTCAGGGGACAATTGTGGGACAATTAAGCAGGTGAGGAGGTCAGTGAGACACATGGGTGGGAAATGGGGATGTGGGACACATGAGGAGAGGTGGGGGCTTAGATTGGCACACTGGTGGGGTTCCATATGACTTATGAGCTGAAGAGTGGGTTCCCTTTCATGAGCACCTAGATATTGCCCTCCCCAGAGTAACTATAAGTGTCCTGGGTTGAAGGGGGCCTCAGAAACCACCTCAGCCCCCCTAGGTCCCAAGGCATCAACATATCCAACCCAATTCCAGTTCAGAGTCTAAGGAAACATTCAAGGGAACAATCTGCAAAGTATACACAAGTTCACCCCCAGCAGTACAATCCTGGGAAAGCTGGAACAGGCCCTGAAGACCACCCCAGTACCCCAATGATAAGCACATGCCAAACCTTACAGAAAATTTTAAGACATGTAAGCCCACCCTCTTAAGAAAATCAACAGGTTTCTCAGACCTATGAACTTCCAAAATAGATGTTTAACAACATGTGACCAAGTTTAAAAAAAAATTCATAGCAACAGAGCAATTCCTATCCCCCCCCCAACATTTTGGAGCCCCAAAGTGCATAGAAAATAGCCCAGAGCCCAACCACCAACCAAGCAAACACCCAGCGCTGCTGACTCAAAGACAAAGGTGTAGACTAGAAGGAAATAAGGCTGCTAGGGGACAGGAACCTGGGAGTGAGCCATCTGGGAGGGTCTCAGCACTAATGGCCTGAGCACCTGGTACCACTTCTGGGACAGGCCACCCACAGCAAGCAAAGAAGGGACATATGGCCTCTCTTTGCAGATTTTTTTTCGGCAATACCTGAGTAGAGCCTGCACCCACAACCCCTCTCTGCACCCACGTCCCCAAGCAGCCATGACACAGGCTCTCCTGCCATCCAGCGGCTTGCGTGTGTCTCCCCGGAGGTGTGGACTCCCAAGGGCAACGTCCATCTACACGATACCTGGCACAGGGCCTGGCACACAGTAGACCTTCACCGAATGTGCAAACGAATGAATGAAAGCCTACCATGTACAAGGCCCTGGCGGCCAGAATGAGCCCAGAAGCGAGGATGACGGAGATGAGGTAGGTGATGGAGGCCAGGCTGGCCAGAGATGAGATGCTGTGCCCAGGATGATGACAGAGGCCAGGTAGAGGTGATGAAAGTCATGATGATGAAGTCCGTGGTGATAGACATGCATGAGATGGACCCCCAAAACAAAGCATGCAGGAGGAAAAAAGCCAAGACCCAAGGCTGAGCTCAGAGACCCTCCCGGAAGGTCAGTGTGTGCCATCTGTCCAGCTCCATCCCACACCCTGCCCAGTTAAAACAGCAGATCATTAACCCTCCATGATGGTCGGAGACTTTCTGAGCCTGGGAATCATACCAGGTAGGAACAGCAGATGCCCTGAGCAGGGCCTGGTAAACAGATTCTGTTTACAGGTCCCCATGTGGAATTCCAGAGAGCCACATCTCTCCTCCCCCCCACCCCAAGTCCATTTTAAAAATTATTATTGTGTATGGGAGAATGGGTACCCAGTATGGAGGTCAGAAGGCCTTCTCTTTCCTTCTCCAGTGGGTTCTGGGGATGGAACTCAGGTCAGCAAACTTGCACAGCAAGCCCTTTTGCTTGCCGAGCCTTCTCATTAATCTAATCGATCTTATTTACTTTTCTTTTAAAAGTTTCCACTTCTAAATTGGCCACCAAACTTTCATGGCAAGTTGAAAAGTGAGCAAGAATGTAGCCTCCAGAATATTGTCCAATAAACTTGTGACTGGTTTGCCAGAACTTTCCAGCTACATCTGAGTTTGTTTGTCCATGCCAAACCTTACTGGCATATCACCCAGCAAAATGCTTTCTCAGAAAATCTCCGATGTCATCAGTGACCTTCAGTTCAAATTACTGTGTTCACAGTCATCAGGAAAACAAGCATGTTGCCCTGTGGTTTCTGAATCTCATTACCTACACCATGAAGGGTGCAGGGAACTTACCTGGAGCCCAGTGGATGATGTCACATCTTGGTGGACCTTCAGGGTAAGGCTGCAGGTGGCCGAGACTCTGTTGAAGATGTGGTGCCAGCAGTGCAATCGGGATGCCCCATCTGGTCCTGAGGTTCCCAGGCCAGCACCACAGGGTGACAGATACCCTGGGAAGTGGCTGGGGAGGCTGGTGTAAGGAGGCCCATTCTTGTCCAGCCAGCTATCCCAGAAACTGGAGAGTGGGGGTCAGGGGCTGTGAGGGCTGATTAAAACCCCGAGCAAGGGGGCAGGAGTTTGAGGGTGAATAACTTGGCCCCCTCTACGTAGGGAAGAGAAAACAATGGAAGGGGCCTTTGGAGTTCATGGGAGAAGTACCCCACTCATGCGTGCAGTAAAGGGCTGTCTCAGGCATGTGGTCAGGAAGAATGGGGGAGTGGGAGCAGGGAGGTGGTAGGAACGGGCCACCACTCTTACCCCTGGAGTGGCACTAGCCACAGATTGGCTGGTGGGCAAAACGAGGAGGTGGGGTGGGGGTACTGGGGCCAAAGTATAATTGGAGTCTTCACCTAGGGCATCTGGGATTTGGGAGAGATCCACTCAGTCTTGTCTCACTTCCAGCCACTCACCACCATCCACTGCACGCACACTCACATACACAGGCACACACTCAGGCAGGCACACAAGCTAACATGCACACCCACACACCATCTTTACAACCCACACAGACTAGGGCCCCTACAGGCTGAGGTCCCTGATGGGAGTCCAGCGCCCACCCGAACCTAACACACAGACTACTGGGCATGGGAGCTTATTTATGCCTTGCCAATCAGGCACTACTCACGGCTGTGGCTGCCCAAGAATGGAGTAAAGGGGTGTTAGGGATAGCCCCCAGCCAAGGCTCCTAAGTACCAAAACCCTCCAGAAGAGGCTCCTTGAGCACGGGGCTATGTGAACCAGAAGGCCCAGCCTTTTGGAGGGATCACAGTGGATTCTAAGTAGAGGGAAGCTACTTAACGGCATTATTCTGAAGTCTCAGATCAGCAGAAAGTTTGTCTCTAGCTCTTGGTGAAAAGATTCTGCTTTTACTAGAGCCATCTGGGAATGTATGGTTTTTCCCTGACATCCTCTCAGAGCCTAGGGTCTCTGTCTACGACACACACACACACACACACACACACACACACACACAC